GGTGCACCGCGATGGGCCTCAAATATGGCCAACTTAAATTCCGGTTTATCAGTGCCGTTCTAATTTTATTTAAAAAATGTAAAACTATGATGTAGGGTAGACGTGGGGTAGACTCAATAATTTTTTTTATTATTTTACGTTGTGAATAAATGTTGGTAGTTATTAAAATTGTTATAAAAATATAAAATTCTAATAAAAATAGATAAGTTATAATAATTATTTATAACCATAAACATCCGATACGCTACTGAAGCAGGTAAGTCAAATTGACGTATCTAAATTTTTTGACATCTAATCTTTGACAAGTAGTAAATAAAAGCAAAAATGCAAGTAAAAATATATAATTAGTTAATTTAAGTGAATTTCATAAATGATCGGTTTACTACACGTATGTATATTATAGAGTCATTTACTAGTGAAAAGTTGTTCCATTATTTCACTCGATTTTTGCCGAGATCTACCGCACGCTACACAACCAACTATTTTAGAGTCTTTTTCGATAAATCGCGATAGTGTCACTGTTAATTTAAGTTCTGCCAAAATTTCCATCTAGATTTACTACGTTTATACAACTATCAGTAGTAGAATAAATAATAAATAACATAAAATAAGCTCCGTAAAGAATGACAAATCCACAAAATTTCGAATCAAATTCAAATGTGTCAAATGAATCGTCAAACAGAACTGTCAAGGATCCCCACCCTAGAGTCCTTTTTCCACCCAACATGCATGAATACATGGATAGCATTATGCTCCTTCCTTAGTCTTCTTATTCAAAGAACTGAATTGATTATTAAACTGACATAAAGTGTCAAATTGGACGAGCGTAAACCTTAGATCTTATAAACTTCGTGGATAAAGCTATGCCATATGTATATTACACACGACTTTGTTTACGGAACTTTCATATGCATTTTTCTTAAAAAAGAAATGGTGTTTTAAATTTAAATTGGTGTCTTGTGCAGGCTAATTAAAAGATGCCCAAATCGTATTTTTAATCATATCTCATTTTTCAGTATTGGCATACTATATTAGTAGTTCATTAGCATATTTGGAAAAAATATTTTTTACGCATAATTTGGTATGACACACTTGGTATTTCGAGTACAATAGTCACTATAATAGGGTCCTTCCATGTGTCAAAAGTTAATAACTAACTCAACAATAACAGTAACAAATAACTTTTCAACAAGCCTATGCGAATAAAAATAGTCCTACCCATATGTGTTTTGATTGATTTTATGAAGTTATACTTCATCGCTGAACAAGCCTTTTTAATCATAAAATGACTAGTACTCGGCGGTTTCTACTGTTTCATCCATTTCATGTTAATTTAAAAATATTTTTTTAAAAAAACAAAATAAGTTCGTGTAAAATTCTTTTAAACTCTAACATCTATTTTAATGATATTTAACAATTATTACATTACCTGTACACATAACTAAATAATTTTGTATGAAAACGTAAATCTAAAGGTTTTTTTTTGAATATTATTTTTATTTTTTTTTATTCTTTAACATTATAAACATTTATAAATGTTTATTTTAAACAATAAGACTGACAATATTATTTGTATAATGTTTTGTATTAGCTTTTGCTTGTTTGTGTACCTTGTTTGTTTTCTTTGTTTGTTTAGTTTACCTTTGTCTTCAAATTGTAAAAGTTTTTGACAATAAAGGCATTTATTTATTTATTTATTTATTTATTTATTTATTTATTTATTTATTTATTTATTTATTTATTTATTTATTTATTTATTTATTTATTTATTTATTTATTTATTTATTTATTTATTTATTTATTTATTTATTTATTTATTTATTTATTTATTTATTTATTTATTTATTTATTTATTTATTTATTTATTTATTTATTTATTTATTTATTTATTTATTTATTTATTTATTTATTTATTTATTTATTTATTTATTTATTTATTTATTTATTTATTTATTTATTTATTTATTTATTTATTTATTTATTTATTTATTTATTTATTTATTTATTTATTTATTTATTTAAATGCTATCAAGAAGGTTTGCATAAAAAAACCTCTTATTTTCTATTAAATAATAATTCAGTTACTATCAATCATAGTTTAGTAAACAATTAGCATTTAATTATCTCAATTTATACCTTTAAATACAATACTACTTGGGTATACCAAACACTTGTTAATATTTTATCTAGAAATTTCACATTCACTATTCTATCAATACGTCTTTGTCTTTCCTAACCTGTAATAAAATACCATTAAATCAATATCATCGTTAATTTTTTTACCTATTTTTCTTGTTATTTGCCTTCTTTGTGGATTATTTTTATCAGATTTCGTCGACTTTTATTTACATCTCCACGATTTACTGATTGATAAGATTGACATGATATTGATGTTTGTTTGGCGCACGAGCATGTGTTGCAGAGAGAAGAGCAGTGCTGCCAGAAATTTTTGACCGAATTTCTTCTCAACGGAGCGTTAAAACCCTTCATATTCCTTCAACTTCAAAAAAAATCCCTGATCTTGTGGAAAATCACCAAATTTCGTGTATTTTACTTATTTTATAATTAGGAAAAAAATTTTAATAACTTATTTCTGGTAATTTTGGGACACTGATGTATTTAAATTAACTTTTTATTAAAAAAATAATCCGATCAAAAATGCTGTGATAGATACTCGACAGCAAGACAGCAGTATTAAAAAGTATGTTTCAAAAAATTAATTTCTTACAATAACTGCTTCAATCGAAAAATTAGATATGTTTTCCATTTACTTATTTATTTCTTCTCAACGTCAAGAACTTTGGTTAAGTTATGGTATGTGTGTCATAAGACGTGTTGAAAGATAAAAATGTATCTATTAATTTTATGTTAAATGTTAAAATCTTTCGAATTGTGGACTTTTTTTTATTGCTTTTAACATCATCCTTAATTAAACAGCGTTAAAGTGAAAAAACAGATGTAATAGTTAATAAAGGAACTATTCTAATAAAAATCTATAACAAATATTTGAAACAGTAAAAGCTATAAGCTATAGTTTAAAGAAACTAAACATTTGTCAACATTATCACACCAAAAACAGTAAATTAAAGTGTGGCAATATACTTTCTAATAGATTTGATGAGATCTCTAAACAACAAAATAAGAGTAATTTGATTGGGTTTGTGCGCAACGTGACCTCAAAGATATAATTAGGCCACTTCCCTGCGTTCATTTCCTTTATAGTCCTTCGCTATCGGGATCGATAACCTTTCTCTACGTGACCGGTGTGACAGTAATAAAATTATATCGAAGAGAATTGTCTCCAGGATTAGTCTGTAGGAAAAAAATAGTCCGTAGAGTTCAGTGATCTATTTAAAGCTCTAAGAGATCTAACAAGTACTTTTACACCTTGAACGGATTTTTTGGATTTAGAATAAAGCATGAATAATGCATAAAGATTATCCTAGATCCGTATATATTTAGTGGATAAGTAGATAACTAGAAGACTGTCGTAAACAAATCAACGATACTATTATCTTGTTTTTTAGTTACACCTACAATTATGCGTACTATATTGACTAACCATATACGATGATTTGTATAGACTTGACAAATACAAGCTAAATCTAAACAAATCATATTTTTTAATAATTATTTTTGACCAACAACTTGATATAAAACTTATTAAGATTTGAATTAATTTCAAATGCGAGACCTTGAACACAGGAGTTGTAAATGTTTATAAAAAATGTCTATACCTCTGTGGAGGAATCATCTCTTTAAAGAAAAACTATCAGTATTTTGCCACTTGCACTATACGAAAATCTACAAAATAAGATATTTATTTTTCGTAAAAACAACATTTGCCTTGCAAACTTGTATTTTTTTTAGTATAGTATTTTGGCTATTGGGCAAATTTGTTTATTAGTAAATCGGATGGTTGTAATGCTCTACAAGCAGAGGTTTACGCTATAAAGGAAGCAGTCAGTTGTATACGAGGAACAATCGCTGATAGACCAATAGGAGATATTGTGATATACTCTGACAGCTTAGGCGCTCTAAAAAGCATCACCATGGAATCAGTGAGATGGAGAACTCTGATGGACTGCCGAGAAGCACTGTCCTGGCTGCGTCAAGGCTGGGTGCCAGGTCACAGCAATATGATGGGCAACCAAGAAACAAACAGACTCGCCAAAGAGGAGGACAGAAGAGGGGCCGTGGGAGATGATCTACCACTTGTGCCGATCAACACTCTGAAGGAAGCTATAGGGACTACCATCAAGGCCAAGCAGCCAGAGACGTGGCATCACCGTGAGGATTGTGATACAGCTTGAAGACTGTGGCCAGTGGTAGATAGCAAAAAGGCAAAAAAACTACTAGAGCACCAAAAGAACCTAGTACGAATAATTGTAGGTGTCATCACTGGAAACTGCCCTACGGGGGTAAACCTAGTAAGATGAAAGATTTCCAATGACGACCACTGCAGAGAATACGGAGGTAAAGAAAAAACCATAGAGTACCTGCTGTGCGACAGTGGCACAGCAGGTACTCTATGTTTTTTTCTTTATGGGCACTGAAATTGTGGACTAGGGGGACTAAGGGGACTAGAAGGAGCAGCAGAAGCCAATTTCGGCGATATCGGGACCTTAGCAAAAAGCAAAAGGCTTTGCTAGTGCTTTAATGCAAAGAAGGAATGGGAGGAAGGTTTGGTTCAAAAATACAGTGGTTTCGCAAGGGGCCCAAGGCCTCCGAGTGAGGGATCGTTGCAATTTCTGTTATAATCTGAAAAAAAGATAGTCTCGCAGCAATCAAGCACATGTGTTTCACAAAAACACGTAACATGAAACTTAAAAATGTAGAGAAAATTGAAAAAACAGACCCTCACAAAAGTGTGTTTTCGGAAATTCATATAAATAATTGTTCTATATTAATTTTGTAATAAATTATTGATAGAGAAAAACTAAATGTTATACAGGGTGTTTCAAAAAACATTTATCTGGCATACGATTCAATCTACTCACCCAGATCTAACCTGATGATCGATTTCCGGCCAACTCAATCTTCTACAACAGAACGTAGAAGGTCTTTCTGTCGTCGTTTTCGGCGACCTCACTCTGAACGATCCAGGTCTCCGAACTGGAGGGGTGGGTACTAGGGTTTCTAGAGTACTGCGTCGCCTCTGGACCAGGGCACTCGCACCCGGAGCGGGTACGACTTTGGGGAATCCCGGAGTGTTGCTGTCTCCAGAGTTGCTACGAGAACCTGGCGATACACCTGCCGAGCTTTCGGATGTGTCTGTTCTGCTCAGTGAAAATCTGGAAAAAAATAGTGAGTTTTTAGGAGTTGTTAAATACTTCAAGTATATGCTGTTTTTTATATAGGTAAGATTTCGACAGACAATAACAGAAAAAAGGCAGATGACGTCCATACCAATCCATTTATTTCACTTTTTGAATTATACATTAAAATATTAAGGGAGGAGTATAATGTTATTCATGTATTCATGCAAGTCAGACGGACATAATGTTATAGGGTAGGGATTCTTGATAATTCATTTGACACATTTGAATTTGATTTGAAATTTCGTGGATTTGTCAGTCTTTACTGAACTTATTTTATGTATTTAATATTTATTCTACTATTGATAGTTGTTTAAAGGTAGTATATCTCCGATAAATCTCGAAGGAAATTGTAGCAGAACTTAAATTAACCGTGACACTATTGCGATTTATCACAAAAGACTGTAAACTAGTTGGTTGTGTAGCGTGCGGTAGGTCTCGGTCAAAAATCGAGGGAATAATGAAATAACTTTTTGCTCTAGTAAGTGACTATATAATATACATACGTGTAGTACACCCATCATTTATAAAAATCACTTAAAATTAACTAACTATATATTTTTTCTTGCATTTTTGCTTTCATTTACTACTTGTCAAAGATTAGATGTTAGAGAATTTAGATACGACAATTTTTCTTACCGGATACACTACCGTTTCGGTAGCGTATCGGATGTTGGTGGTAAAAATAATTATTATAAATTATAACTTATCTATTTGTATTAGAATTGTATATTTATATAGCCTGTGAAACGAATAACTTTGAATTTGACAGTTTCCGCGGGCTTTTCTAGTGTAAATTTTATTAGGTTAGCAACTTGCGACCATGCTGATGCTATGCCGTCTCTAATAGAACAGCCTCGGAGCGATATTTATGACGTCACGCTAGTTAGATACTACGGATTACTTATGGTGTAGAATACACGGAAAACATAATTATTCCTCGTATATGTAATTTTTTGGATTATATTCGACACTATTTTTTTCATATGTCACAACACTGATGAAGGCTATAAACGTTAGCTATAACGTTTTTTTTTAACCAAAAAAAAAAATAATGAAAAACCAAATGAAAACTTAATCAGCGTTTTTCCCGAACCTAAATCCCAAGAAAATCAAAAATTTTAGAATAATTTTACATATAAAATTACAGCGATCTTTATTTCATAGCCATCGCTGACGCCTTTTTTTCTATGATATTGTATTATTTGCAAATATGAGTTTTCGAACATTGATGCTAGCAAAATATACATATAAATTTTGTGAATGCAAATAATATATCACTATTAGTAGATATTGAATGTTTTTTGTTAAATTAGATCGATTTTTAAACCCCAAAATTTAAAATATATTTTATATTTTACCCATTATCTTATGTACCTATATATATATATATATATATATATATATATATATATATATATATATATATATATATATATATATATATATATATATATATATATATATATATATATATATATATATATATATATATATATATATATATATATATATATATATATATATATATATATATATATTGTATTTATTAACTGTATATTATGTATATTTATATTATATAATGTCAAAGGCTGATGACATTTTACTTTTGTCAGTTATAACATTTCGCGTTGATTTTTGCAAGAAGAGGAAGAACTGCTACTTGTTTTATTATTTTCCTTTTCTATTTCACGAAAGTAAAAAGAGTTACCTATCTAATTCGTTCAGGCACTCATTTTAAATAATATCAGTAACTTTGGATAGAGGGATTTTATATTTGCTATGTTGGTAAAAAATAACGGTCAAAATTCAAAGTTATTCATTTTATAGACTATATAACAATTTTAATAACTATTGACATTGTAAAATAAAACAATAAATTATTGAGTCTACCCCATGTTTACCCTACATCATATTTTTACACGTTTTGAATAAAATTGGAACGGCACTGATAAACTGCTCCTTCCTTAATCTTTTTATTCAAAGATTTCACTAAAAAAGGTTTCTAATATTTTTAAAGTATGCCTGGGTTTATATATGTAGAAAGGCCTATAGAATAATCCGGCTTTTTGCAAAAAGACTAGGCATATTACAAAACGCCGGCTTTTTAAACAAAAGAAGTAATTTTTACGAGAAGCCTATCTGTTTTCAGTCACTTTGCAAAAAGCCTAATCAGAAATAACTTCTGCAAAAAGACAGCCTGTTTTCAGTCATTTTACAAAACGCCAAATCAAGGCCAGGCAGATTAATAAATGATCAAAGTTTAGTCAGCTATGAGCATAAGCATATTGGATAATTTACGCTGTAATAAAAATACCCCATATTTTTTTTGCTATACCAAAACAATAATTTATGTCAAAATTAAATTTAAATTTGTTCTTTTTAGACGAAAACAACTTGAACCTTACTGCATAAATTATAATTATAAATAACATAACTTTAAATACAAAATATATTAGAACCTTGAACCTGTAATTCGATTCTGTATACAGGGCTGCTTGTGGAACTTTGTTTTCTCTTAGAATAAGATGAATTTATAACTTTATAATAATCGTCCTTAACCATACTCCATTTAACAGAATTATCACTTTTTGTGCCACTATTTCCTAATTTTGAAAGAGAAGTTCAAGAAATCTCGTTCGATAAATTTAGGTTAGTTATACCAAAATTTGGGTATACCAATCCCGCGTAAAATGTTTTGTGCAATCTAACGTATTAGGCATTTTTCAAAGCGACTGAAAACATATAGGCTCTTTGTAAAATATCCTTTTTTAGTTAAAAATGCCGGCGTTTTATAATAAGCCTAGTCTTTTTTCAAAATTCCGAGATATAGTCCGGGGCACTTATGATTTTATTGGGAACAAAATAACATAAATCTGGGACTAGTCTTAATCGATAGCTTTTATAGTCCGATTGAACATACTAAAAGTCCTCATATCTCCCACTAGGGGAACACTAGGGGAACTTTGTCGCTATACATACAACAGATATAACTAAAAACTAAGGTATCTACATTAATTTCTTCCTCAGGCCGATCATTCATCGGATTTAATTCGGGGATATTATCGCAAGAGTTTCCTTGGCAAAATCCGCTACTTCTTGCTCCATTAAAATGAGATAAAGCTCATTATTTGCATCCTTCTATCCCCACTCCAATGGATCAGGGGAGTAGCCTAACCATTCTTGTATTTGGTTATAAATTCTAAAGATATGGAATTTTGCGGCATCTGTGGTGGGAGGAAGAGCAGCCAAATTGAAGTTTGTGCTAAGATTTTGTCTAGCGGTTATAGCATTGTATTTTTTTAATCTTAATTCATCTAGTGAAATTATTGAAATTTGTCCGTAAAGAGATACTAAAAAGCGCTCGCCAGCTTTCAAGGCATCATCAATATCACAATATTCTCGTATCTTACAGAGCTTAACCTGCACACTTTCATAAGATTTACAGACTGATCAGCTGTTTAAATCCTGAATCGACTTGTCTTGATTCTGCGTGGGGGGCGCCTACTATGTTATGCAATGACCGAAACTAAGGAAAGCGATTTTAGGGATGACCGAGATATGCGTTGCCGGCGTCTTTTAGATGGTACCTACGTGTAGTACATTTCAGGAAGAAAATGGAATATTTTGCATGCTTCATTAGAAACACGGCGCCGGCGTGCTAATAAATAAAAATTTGCACTGCACAATATAACAAGTCAAAAGTCCACCGCTCGACGACACTACTTGCAGTACTGCTTTGTACTCCCCAAGCACTACCTAGTACACAAATTCCGGCCCTAGTCTGCCTAAGTACCATCAAAGTGCTGCACAAGTATTCTAGTCTAATCGACTGCTCGAGAATAATATGTAAGCCACCCGACAGTATACTTGCAGTACTGCCCAAAAATGTTTACAACTACTATCCAAAATTTTTCATCCATCGATCTTGTCACTAGCCTTTTTATTAACAGCAAAATATTTACTTATTTCGGTAATTTCTTTTATTAGGTAACGGTGCTACCTAGGAACCTCGAAGGTACCTTTAATTATAGAAATTATCGGTCTTTCATTTATCTTCCAACATATTTTCTTTAAAAATTAAAAGTTTTTGAATAAATGGCAAATTTAGGAAAAAATGCCACAAATCCAAGATAGCGGCGCCATTTTGACAATGTTCCCCTTATGGGAGGCATGGAGACTTTTAGTATGTTCAACAGGACCCTTAAAACTATGAATTAAGACTAATCGCAGCTTTATGTTATTTTGTTCCCAATTCGCACTATAGGCAATTTCTAAGTGCCCCGCGCATTAATATTCGATATGCCTGCCACATATACAAATCTGTCATGAGTCGTCTCTTGTTGTTTTTTCACCAGTTTTATTGGTTTATTTAAAAAATCACCGATCATATTTTAATATTATTAGAGTCACGGAACGATGAACGATTCACGGACGCAGATGCGTCTAAACTCGCCTTAAGATTTTTAAGGCTTGTCAATCTCTTGCCAAATTATAGGTTATAGAATTTGTATCAAATTAGCTGAAAAAATAAATTTATTACACTAAAAATGATGTTCTGTCAAATAAATATTCCGCAGCAGCTATGCTACATTCTAAAATATTTTTTTAGTACCTAAATGCTTGGAAAAGTCCCTTCTCATTGAATAATGGTTGTTCTTGGCAGGTTTTGTTCGAGCCTTTTTTCTGAAAGTAACATTTTAACGAATGATTTACTTTTTTACATAAAAAAGTTTTGGAGAATGGCGAAGCTTTTCGACGAAGACGTAGTAGATGAAAAAAGAAAATGAAAAATAATATTTGAAAATGTGGGTGACAAAATATCTGTCGGAAGCATAAAAAGCATGTCTTTATTGAAAAGCAAACTGTGTAAAACCTATTACATTTTTGTTCCGTAATGATATTTATATGATTTTATAGCTTTTATACTGTTCATTTTTCACATACTTCCATAATTGAATTTGAATATTTATCTT